GGAGCAAATGTCAGGATTTAGATACCCAGGGCCCAAACGCTAGCAGTCCTGACCATGGCATGATTTTTATAACTAGTTCTTAGGAGAGATTCAGAACCTAAGTCCGCCCTCTTCTGTAAAGAAATTCTACCCCTTTGGAGGGGCTCCAAAACTGAAGCCTTAAACAGAGGAATCGGATCTAGTCAAATGGCTTCGCAGGCCGAGTGGAGACCTGCAGTTCTAGGAGAGGGAATTAGGCAGCGGGACGCTTCTGTCTCGGGCACAAGGGCTGGGAGACCATCCCCCTGTGGAAAGAGCATGGCAGTGAATCAGGGATCAGCTTTCCAGAGTCAAAGGCCACGACCCAGTTTCAGCCTGGCCAAGGCCTCCTTACATTCTCAAAAACCAACCAACCCAATGGGCCCAGCGCGATGGCGCAGTGGTTAAGGTCCTCGCCTTGCACACCCAGGATCCCATATGGGCACCAGTTCTAATCCCAGTAGCTCCACTTCCCATCCAGCTCCCTGCTTGTGGCCTGGGAAAGCAGTTAAAGACGGCCCAAAGCTTTGGGACCCTGCACCCGCGTGGGAGACCCGAAAGAGGCTCCTGGCTTCGGATCGGCATAGCATCGGCTATTGTGGTCACTTGGGGAGTGAGTCATCGGATGGAAGATCTTCCTCTCTGTCTCTCCTCTCTGTATATCTGCCTTTCCAATAAGAAATTTTAAAAATAAATCTAAAGAAAAAAGCAACCAACCCAAAGGAATCACCTAGTGAAATGCCAAAAGCTGCTTAGGAAAAACCACTGCCTCCATCTGCGATCAAACACAGTTCCTCGTTGAATGAGCATCCTTCATTCTAGGATGAGCTACGAGCAAGGGTCAATGTGGCAAAACACAAAAGCAAGTCTGTGTTAACAGACTCCCCGTCACACAATGCCTTTCACACATCACGTAAGGGGACCTGCTATGTTCAGCAATCAACCTTGAGTCTCCAATGAAAATATGACTGGCTTCAACTTGAGCTTGAGGTAGGGACTGTACTAAATTTAACATCACCAGTAACAAACGGCAGTCACACATCATTTGTTACCACGGAAATTCAACTGGACACCAGGGCCAGGTATCACTACGCAACCTTTGAAATGGCTGAGAGTCACAAGGTTGACCCTGCGGCACAGGGAGGACGCAGAGGGACCTGAACTTAGAATTCCATTTGTGAACTTAACAAATTCCATTTGATGCTTAATATTAAAAATTTTGAGGGCCCGGCGTGGTGGCCTAGTGGCTAAAATTCTCGCCTTGAACACACCAGAATCCCATTTGGGCACTGGTTCTAATCCTGGCAGCTCCACTTCCATCCAGCTCCCTGCTTGTGGCCTGGGAAAGCAGTCCGAGGACGGCCCAAGGCCTTGGGACCCTGCACCCACGTGAGAAACCTGGAGGAGGTTCCTGGCTCCTGGCTTCGGATCAGCATAGCATCGGCCCTTGCGCTCACTTGGGGAGTGAATCATCGGACGGGAGATCTTCCTCTCTGTCTCTCCTCTCTGTATATCCGCCTTTCCAATAAAAATAAAATAAATCTTTAAAAAAAAATGTTGAAATCACACTTGTTTTTTTCATAATAACCATTTCCCCACTTATATGCACAGATTTCAATTCTATTTGCACCAGGGGTCACAGCTGTACCATACCAGGCTAAGCCACAACCTGTGACACTGGCACACTTCTATGGGCTCTGGTTCGAGTCCCAGTAGCTCTGCTTATAGACCAGTTCCCTGCTAATGCTCCTGGGAAAAGCAGCAGGAAGATGTTCCAAAGGCTTTGACCCCTGCAACCCGCCCAGAAGGCTCTGGCTTCGGCTTGACCCAACCGGGACCCTTGGAGCTATCTCAGGAGTGAATCAGCAGATGGAAATTTTCTCCCTGTCTCTCCCTCTCTCCTAACTCTTCCTTTTAAATAAATAAATAAATTGTCTAAGATTTCTTTTACTGAACCAGAGCTCAGATTGGCACCTGGTGGTAGCTTAACCCATGACACAATAGTGGCCCCACACTTGCATAAATGTGTAAACCACAAAATCAAAATTGCACCAAAATGAACATACTACTTAAGTCTACTTTTCCACAGACTGCCAGTGGGACTGGAAACAGTACAAACAGCTTCAAATAAACCTAAGAGTGTCCACAGTACCCAGCCATTCTGATGCCAGCACTTGACCACAAGCAAAGGAGACAGCTGTCCAAAGACGTGTACACAGACTCTGGGCAGTTTTATTAAGTAACTGTCAAAAACAGGAAGCAACCGAGCTGCCCCGCAGGTGAACGGTAACCGAGTTACATGAAATCCACAGGATGGAGTACTACTTGGTAATAAAAACTGTTGGTAGACCCACCGGAGCGGACAGACCACACAGCAATTACGCCAAGTGGGAGAAGGCAGGTGAGACGGGAGTTCCAGACGACACAGACAACAGTAACACAAAGCAACTCTGTGGCTGCCAAGAAGTGGAGCGTGGGGGGGTGGGGGTACCCAAAGGCGACGGGCATGTGGTGAGCCACACCTCGGGGAGGACGTCCAGCTGGCAGTTTTCAAAACGCATCCAACGGCATACTTCAAACACATGTGCAGTCTGTTACACTTTAACGCAAGATTTAAACAGCCCAGGAATCCTCTTAGAAACTTAGTTCTTGATTTTGATTTACAGGCGTTTAACTATGTCGAGATTTTAAAAAAAAATCAGACCATTAAAAGGCTTAAAATAACAAGAGGAAGTTGACTGTAATCTATAAATTCCAAATGAGCTTAATTAAGTGTTCAAATGGGACTGAGCATTAATCAAAGTCCCGTCCAAGGTGAATGTTAAACTTTTCTAGATTCAAATGGGAACGGACAGATTTGCATACTATACTTGGTGGCAAACCTTAAAAGACTGGCCCTTAAAGGATGTTTTAACAAGTTGAGAATCCAGTTTTTCAACAAAAGTAAACATTTGCATAATCTTTCCATGGCTTAAAATTCCAGAGGTAGAGGCAGGGTGTGGCTTCCTAACCTCACTCTGACAAGCCACTCACACGGCCTGAAATTCACCCTCATGGAGCAACCAACGTTAATAAACCACATATTGATAAACCGCACACTGGGCAGATTTGCGCCCAGTGACTGGAAATGGGACAAACAGCTCGCCCCACACACCCTGGCTGATGGGAAGAGGGGTCAGATAGGCGAACAGGGACACGCCATCATTGCCATCCTTGCCGACAAAGCATGACTCAGCACAGCCAGGTCGCGGCATTTTCCCCACAGCCTCAGCCCCAGATGCCTCGTCGCCTGCCGGTCAGGAGGGGAGTTGCCACTGGAGGCGGTGGGTGAAGCATTGCTTCCAGCAGCTTCCAGCCGGCCCCACCCCCTCCCCTGGCCTGCTGGCAAATCAGGAGGGCTGAGTGCCTGCGGATAACAGGAGAGCCAAGAGCTGGTGGTGCTAAAGCACCCGAGGTTCTGCCTTCCTGCAGCAGCAGCCCAGAGCCAGCTCCTCCAGGATCTCCAGGGAGGAGCAGACGGGAGAGAAGGCCACAGCAGAGGTGACAGAGCCTTGGTTACAGTAACCAAGCAAAGCTCCAGGACTCTGCTAGGCCTTGAAATGTAGGAGCCAAAGAATGAACTAGGTCACCTGGGGGCACTTTTCTCAAAGTGTGGGCCGGGAGGCAGGGGGCTGCATGTGGCACATCAGAGGCCAGCATCCCATATGGCCGCTCCCATTCCCACCTGGCTTCCCGCTGCCGCGCCTGGACAAGCAGCAGAAGGTGCCCCCGGGAGACCCAGATGAAGCTCCAGGCTTTTCGGCTTTGGCTTGGCCCAGTGGGCATTCGGGGGAAGTGAATCAGTGGATGGAAAATCTTTCTCCCTCTCTGTCATTCAGCCTTTCAAACAAATATATCCTTGGGGGGCAGGGGGATGAGAAGGAACGAAGACGCTCCCCCCCCCCAGAGCAGCATCTCGGATTCTGTCACAGCCTTCTCCAGGCTGCAGTGTGTCCAACGCCGTAAATGAGGTGGTTTATGAAGACTTCCCCCCTCAAACAGGCAAATGAGAGAAAGAGCATTCACCTCTATCCATCAGAGAGAAGCGGCCAAAGCAGGGAGAAAACGCTCCTCGCGGCACCCAGCGTCTGCTGTGGCCCAGCTTCTCTGAGAACATGCCATCACAGGGTGAGAACTACCCAGGACAAGAGCACCACGGGGAAGCCCACGCGGGAGGCCAACTCACAGGTTCCGATGTGTCCCCTAGGAAAAGGTCCCCACGCAACGGGTGGAAAAGCAGACTCAGCACTCTGCAAAGGACCCCCTCCGACAGCTCTGAGCTGAAAGTTGTCCTGGGGTCACAGGGGAAAGCCCCTGGCCGGGACGTCCACCCAGTCCTGCGGCAGCAGAAGGTCCAGGGCTGGCAGAGCCCAGCCACCTGCAGTCGGTTGGGAGGGGGCCTCAGAGGGAGGAAGGCCTTAAAGGGGGCAGGGGCGCAGTTGTACAGGACACTGCTGGCCAAGCACCAGACAGAGGTCCTCAGGGACAAGGCCATCTCACTCCCTCGCTGTTGTGACTGTCAGAGGCTGGAAGCCAACACGTCAAGTGCCTCTACGGCCAGCTGTCCAGGTCACCCTTCGTGCCACAACCACCTTCTGCCCCAAGCCCCTCACTGCCCAGCTTCCTGCTCCACACAAGCCAAAAAGAAGGGGTCCTCTCCAGCCCCGTGCCACAAGCCACACCGCCTGCTAGGGCTGGCCGGCTGCCAAGAGGAGCGTCCGGGAACTAGACATCATTTTCCTTAAAAAAAAAAAAAAAGACAACTCAGAGAAACCAAGCTCAGATGGGTTTGATCCAGAAATCAGAGCTTGGCCTTTTGCTCTGACTGCTCTCAAGTCTGACCCAGCGATGACGCGGCTGGCACCCGCGGCTGGCACCCACGGCGGCTTCCACCCCCGGCCCCACGCAGCCCCCGGCCCGGATGAGGCAGGTACTCCACTTACCCCGAGTGTTTTTGCAAGCACTTCAGAAGGCAGACGCTACCTGAAGCTAAAGGGGGAAAAAAGAAAATGTGTTATCCTCGGTTCTCCAAGGCATCCCCCAGGGAGACCAAGAGGGGCAGCTCAGTGCAGGGGAGGGGCTGGACGCCACAGGCAGGTGCAGGCTCTGGGATCTGCCTGTTCGAGCTCCACCTCTGGCAACTCTGCCACCACACCCAGAACCCTCAGAGCCACGTTCCTCAGCTGGAAAACACTAGGACTACCCGCCTCATGGGGCCCTGAGAAGCACCTGCTGGGCTAACACGCACGACGTGGCCCCAAACCTGGCCCCTGTGGAACTGTGAACAATCGTTTTCTGGCTCACCCCCATGCCACTCCAGAATGTTCCTCTTTGAAAGGCCAAAGCCTTGTCAGATAGCTCAAGCCACTCGTCAATAAGCAGCCAAACGGAAACACGGAGCTAGCACAGAAACTGGTGACGTCAGGAGATGACGTCAAGGTACTGCTGAATGTTGGGGACATGCAGCTTAATAAAATATTTGTTGATGGCATGTTTCGCATCAGGAACTAGAGCAGAACAGCACAGACTCCTGCCCGCAGACATGCCAGAAACACACTGTCCGGAGCTGCCAACTGACAGGCCCAAACCAACGACCCCAGCAAGGCAGCAGGCATCCTAGCCGGAACTCGAGCCTGCTGCCTGAGGCCAGTCCCAGCCTCGCCGCTGGCTGTCCAGCTGCATGGCTCCAGGCACGCTGTCTCACCACTTAGCTCTCAAAGGCCACCTAGCAGCCCCCTTGGCAAGGGCTGCTGTGGAAGCCACAGGAGATAACATCAGGCACCAATGGGGATGGCAAGGTCCAGGCCAGCAGTGCCAATGCACATGCCCATTAAGACTGGCTTTCGCCATTCGGGGCAACCACTGGCAGTGACTCCGTGGCGTCATGTGAAAATACAGCTCCCCTTCTGTGAAGCTGGGCAAAAGTTTGTAAGGGAAAGCCCTGTATCTTGGGGGGTAACCTTATTTTCATGGGATCAGAGAAGGGGAAAGGCTCCAAGGAAGCCTGGGCCGTGGGGACCCAGAGGAGGGACAGCACCATGCGACTCTGGGAATGTGCATGGTCTCCAAAGGCGGAAGCAGCTGCCGGGGCAAGGGGAAGGCAGAACGAGCCCCTGAGGTGGCTCACAGTATACTGAGCAGTGACTTCTCCCTCCAGGTTCTCCCCACCCTCTACCATCACACCCCACATTCACAACCAAGCCTGGAGCACTGGGGACTGACAGCCACTCCAACCCAGCCAACGTTCCAGTGCAAAATAGGGCCTCAAATGAAACGCTCGCAGATCCTCCTGGAATGCAAGGAGCAGGGAGGAGTCTGTTCAGAGCGGCTAGGATGGGGACAGGCACCATGGTGCTAAGTCACTGACTACAATGTTGGCATCCATATGGGCCCAGTTTGAGTCCCAGCTACTCCACTTCTGATCCAGCTCCCTGCCAATGTGCCTAGGAAAGCAGCGGAGGATGACTCGAGGGCATGGGTCCCTGCCACCTACCCAGATGAAGCCACGGCCTGGCCCAGCCTCGGCCATCTGGGGGTTGATTAGGTGGGTGGAAGATGGACTCCCTTCTTGTTGTAACTCTGGCTTCAAGTAAACAAATAACTATTTTTAGAAAGAAAGGGGGAAGGGAGAAAGGAAAAGAAAGGGCTGACCTGGGCGAGGCAGCCAGCTCACGTGGAAGATTCTGGACCAAAATGTGGGTAGACTCAGGGCTACGCACGCTCGCCCCGACTCACTGCCCTCCTGTCACTCCAAACATTCCACATTCCCCAGCTTGTACCCTTCCCTCACTGGCATCCACACTTGAGCCATTTTATACATTCACTGTGTCCTCACTGTTGTGCCAGGCATGGTGAAGACCAGGGGAGAAGGGCACAAAAATTACCCCTTGGAATGAGAGTGGGACGGGGGTCAAGGCTTGCCCCATCCTGGTGCCCTCTGCGCACTGGATGGCGAGGACGGGCACTGGCACAGCGCTGGGGGGTGAGGAGACAGGGAGAAAGCAGGGCAGACTGTGGGCGCCCTGCAGGCAGGCGAGGCCCTGTGAGCCCTGCTCCAACAGGCAGAGACCAGCCAGATGGTGGCATGTTCCCATAGCCAGACGGAGGGGACAACGCAGGTGGGGTAACCCTGGCTGGCAGCCCCAAGGAACTCAAACAGGCACTGAGCAGCCGTGGGGCGCGAGGCCCCTTCTAGCAGGACAAGGCTTGGAACACCATATGGACACGCGGAAGCTCGCCCAAACCCAAAGGGAGCCGACCCTAACAGGCTGCTGCTGGGCCCAGCTGGCTGGGAACCATCCCACCTCCTCACCTGGGCCTGCCTCGCAGCACAGCTCCTTACCCACACCTGCTCACGCCTCCCATCCCACAGCTCCTTCCCCCAGGTTCTCCTTGCTCCTTCCTCTGGCACCTTCCAGTCTCTTAAAACTTCCCTCTCACGGGGTACCCAGTAACAATTTCTTCTGTTCTTCTGTCTTTTGGTTTTTGGCTGTTACAACTGTTACCGCCCGTGGCATCAAAAAGAAGTTCATGACTCCTCCTCCAGGAAGCCGCCTCCCAATCCACCCCCTTCCAGCCCAGGGGCTTCCCTCCCTTGCTGCAGTGCTGGCTAGCCCCGTGTGTCTTCTTCCTCCATCCCTGCCCACGGCCCACCAGCCGCTTAGCTGGTATTTATTTTTCTCTTCCCCAACCAGTCTGTCAGCAATTCTAGACCAAAGATTAACTCCCCACCACCCACATGGTCTCTCAGCACCCAGTCCGGGGCTCTGCACGTGACAAGGGCTGTGCCAAAGAGTTCAGGTGTAAAAATGGGGCAGGGTCGTTGCGCATCAAGAAAAACACCGGGCACACCCCAGCTCAGCAAAGATGGGAATCACGTAAGGAACAGGTGACCCCAGGGGCAAGTGCCATGCTCCGCGAACCTCCGTAGTTCTCAGAATGGGGAGGTGCGGTGGAGGTTACCAGCCCCCGCACACGTGGAACACGGCCATCAGAAGGAGCATTCGTGAAATCTGCCCCTGGTCAGGCACCCGGCCCTTGGCTGAATTCCATCGTCTGTGTGGGATGAGGAAAGAGCTCTCCAGAGGCAAAAAGAACTTGTTCCAAGTACACAGGGCAAGTCACGCTGGGAGCCACCTGCCCCGCAAGGGCCTCCGCGCCAGGTGCCTCCATGCACTTTGCAAACTTCTAGAAGCTCTGCAAGTTAACGGGCCTGGGCTAGGCGCCCGCCACCTGCCACCTGGGCGGCCTCGGGCACCCAAAGGGCACGGAGACCACCCCAGTCCCCGTGAACCCTGACCCTGCACCTGCGTCTTTTAAGTGCCACCCCTCGACAGGCTGGGGAGGGCAGACGGGAGGGGGACCCCATGATGGTGATGTCTTAGGGCTCCGTGCCTCAGTTTGTCCATCTGCAGAATGGCTTGGCGAGGGGCCCACACCCGCGGGGTGCCCGCCCCAGGGATGCTCGCGGGGTGCGCGGGAGGGGCGGCGAACGTGGCCCGCGCCGCGCCGCGTCGTGTCGCGCTGCACATTGCCGCCGCCGCCTCGGCGCGTCCGACCCTTACATAAGCATCCCTCACGGCGGCCGCGCCGGCGCACGCCCACCCGCCCCGACCGGCGTGCCGCAGGCAGAGGAAGACGCGGAGCGCCGCCGCGGACACTCACCTCCTCGCCGCCGCCGCCTCCACAGCCGCTGCCTCCCCTGACAGGGAACAGCTGCGGTCTCCGCGCAACCGAACTTGCTGCAGCCGCGGCCCCGCCCCCTCCGACTTCCGATTGGCCCCGGCAGCCCAGCCCCTCCTGCTATTGGACGGAGCGCTCCGCCACTCACCGCTCCCCCTACTCGGAACTCCTCCCAAGGCCCGCCTACCCTTCGCGTTTAAGCCTTGGCGCCCCACGTCAGCCCCGCCCCCGGCGTCCCCGGCGGGCGTCCGGATTGGTGGCGAGGCGAGGAAGAGCCCGCCCCCGGGCGCGCCCCCGCCTACGCCCTCGGCCGTGGAGCCTCACGTGGGCCGCCGAGCCCAGGCCGTGGCCTGCCATAGGCGGAAGTGGCGGGGTTCTGGGGCGCCGGGATTGGCTGTCTGCGGGGGTGGGGACGCGCGATTCATTCACCCCGGGGCAGCACGTGGCTCCCCGAGCCGCAAGCACAACACAGGCGCCGGGGGTCGGGCGGCCCGGGCCGGGAGCGGAGGGCCAGGCGCGCGGCTACCGCCGGGCTGGCGCGGGAACGTTCGAGAACACCAGGAGGAACGGGGAAGCGTTCCCGGGACTGTCCTCTGGCGGCCGCGTCGTGAGGTGAGGCGGCCCCCGAGCTCTTCTCGGTGTGACCTTGGGGCAGCCGCATGGCCTCTCGGATCCTGAGGGCCTCAGGTGCCCGGTCCGCAGGGAGGAGAGAGCAGCTCCGTGCCAAGACCAACGCAAACGCTTGTCTCTCCGTGAGCAGAAAACAGTAAAATACATGGCATCCGGCAGGTGGCCAGGGGCGAGCAGATCGCTCGCTTCCTGACAGCTGCACCGGGACCTGGAGAAACGTCTTGTTGGCTGTCCACCTCCCCTACTCAGATCTGCCCCGCCACCCTCCAACAATGATAGGAGCAGAGATTAAAACCCCGATTCTCGCCGGAGGACATTGTAAAGAGTGAAGTACCCAGAAAGACAAGCACTGCGCGTGCTCCCTAATTTAAAGACTTCTCTTTTATTTAAAAGGCAGATTTTACAGAGCGGAAAGGAGAGACAGATTCCTCACATGGCGCCAACAGCCGGAGCTGGGCTAGTTTGAAGCCAGCAGGTCTCTCCCACGTGGGTGCAGGGTCCCAAGACCTTGGGCCATCCTCTGCTGCTTTCCCAGGCCTCAAGCGGAGAGCTGGATGGGAAGTGGAGCTGCCGGGATTAGAACCGGTGTCCATAGGAGATGCTGCCACTGCAGAGGATCAGTCTATTGCATCACTGCATTAGCTCCATTCTTCCTAAAGACTAAATAATAATAATAAATGCCTGTATGTTAGCTTCATGTCAGATAATAATGCGATGTGCAGTATCTTCAAGTCCAAAGACTGCCCCACAGCTTTTGTTAGGCAGGAAGAAGGGAAACGTGGTACAGCTGGTTAACTCGCATCCCACAGGAATACCAGTCCAGCTGATCCAGCTCCCTGGGAAAGCAGCAGAGGATGGCCCAAGTCTCCCGGCCTTGGCCGTCTGGGAAGTGAGGTAGCAAGTGGGAGATCTCTTTCTTTTTAGCTCAAGTCATGTGACTTGGGGCCGGTTCCTTCTTCACAGACTGACTTTCCTGGTTCAAAGGGCTGGAATTCACCGACACACAGTCTAGAATTCCAACTGCTTCACGCCCACCTCATGAGCCCATCACTCAGCTGTGTGTTTGTGTATGTGACAGGTCTCTGTATCCTACAGAAAGGGTGCGGCCTTGTCTGAGGACTGGCCATGCGCCAGAAGCTGTGAGTGAAGCAGCAGGGTCTGTCCCTGTGGATTCTCGCGGGCCTGGGGCACGGGATAAGCAGCCCAGAGGACTGTCATATCAATAGCAGTGAACATGAACCAAGTGGATCCAGAATTGAGGCAATGTTAATTTTGAACAGTCAACTACAGCACGGACACATTCAAATAAGCAAACAAGATGCCCACCCTTCCATGCGTGGTCCAGAGACAGCAAAGTGCCCAGCACAGCCCAAGGGGGAAGCAGTTCCACCCTGTGGCTGGGGGAAAAAGAAAAAGGGCATTCTTCCATGCAAACTTCTGTACCAGGAGTGACAACCTGCTTGGGGACAGAGCGCCTGTGGGAAACATGGGACTCCCATGTCCCATGGGAATGGTGGCTATGCTCCCATGCATATTAACCGTTGTTCCTCAGGCCACTTCCACAGCCTCCGGGGAACTGGGTTCTCTCCGCTGTCCTCCCCTCGCTCTAGACAGTGTTAGGTCACCCGCAAAGACGATAACGCACATTGGTGTTGACAGACAAGTAGGAATCAGACGTCCCTGCCGGTGGAACTCTCCCAAAGCTGGCAACGGCTGAAACTAAACCGATTCCTGGATCCACACTGCCCCCCCCGCCCAGATAAATCTGGAAGGGGCCCAGGAATCTTTTTATTGACTCTTATGCCAGAGGCCAGCTCCAGACAAGTTCAGAGCTCGAGAAGGGTGCGAAGAGTCGGAGATAAAGAAAGACACGGACACTGTCTCTTGGTGCCCTGTTGCAACAGCTCAAGAAGAAGCTGTCCTTTTTATTTACTCAGACACATCACAGGCCTCTGCACAATTGTTTGATCGTTCTATTTTTACTTCATGACTAAGTGGGTATGCACAGATGTTTGATTATTTTATTTTTTACTTCATGTTCAACCAGGTGCTCTTAAAGATAATTCTGTAAGTTACCATAATCGTTTTCTTCAAAGCAAGCCGTTATTCATTCTTCAGTAGTGGGCATTGGGTGACAGCCAGGACTCCAAGGCCAAGGCGCACGCGATTACCGACTAAATAGTAATACAATCCTACTACATTTCTATTTCCACAAGTTGCCCATCATTTAATAGGAGAAATATGTTACAAGGGGAAAAACGTAAAAATCCAAGACAAAAGTTTCAAATATTAGATCCCCCCCTCCCAATTACAGGCTCTATAACCCTATAAACAAATAATAATCAAAAGTATATCTCTATGATATTAATAAAATAATTCCTCTAGTTAAAAAAGTATAAAAACAGCTAAAACAGCTACATTTTCTATGCTCTAAAGAATTGCAGATGGGTGCCAGGCCGGGTCCATCTCCATGCTCAGAGCCCTGATTCCAGCCACCGTGTACATGGCCTGGTGCAAACTCTGGGGTTTTGGTTCTTTGAATTGCTGCTTAGGTAGCTCCATGTTGAGGCCACTGTGCTTCTAGGACGTGAATCAATCCTAAAGATTCCCAATGACAGAGTAAGTTTTTGTTTGAAAGTAAGTGAGGGTAATGAGACCTGGTAGGTGGGAGGAGAGGGACCAGTTGATCTTTATGGATAAGACTGATATAAAAACCTCTTTTGAATCCTGTGTAGAACTTGTAATCACTGAACAATACTGACCACCGAACACCAGTTCATGCAAAAGCTAAGACTTGGGGCTTGTCTAGCAGGATCATATCCTGTTACCTGACATGATGATGGATCAGGAGACAGGTCACATTAGGCAGGGACATGACATTAACTAGCACACAAGAGAACCATATCCAGGGGTAGATTCTGTGAAGGATGTGTGGGCCAAACCCTGTGGAAATACTAGCCCCACTGGTTAGCTCAAGAGTTGGGGTGGTGGTGGACTAAGCTAGGTGTGACCATGGAGTCTGCAATCACTCACAGGTAAAGGAACCAACAACGGTCTGGACTGGTCAAGGCAGCAGCACCCGAATGAGCATCCTGAATAGGGTGTGGGGTGGGCCAGGCTGCAACGTTCACCAGCTCATACAAGGCCAAATGGAAGACAATGCCAGACACTGGCCTAAAACCCAATGGCACGTATGAGAACTGGAGCTGGGTGCCAGAGTCCAGCTCCAGCTGAGTTCGGAGCTCGGGAAGGGTGCGTGGAGTCGGTGATAAAGAAAGACACAGACACTTGGTGCGTTCTCACTGCCTCTCCGCTCAAGAAGAAGCTGTCCCTTTTTATTTACTTGGACACATCACAAGCCTCTGCACAAACATTTGATTTTTTATCTTTAACTTTAGAACTAAGCCAGCATGCACAGATGTTCAATTAATTTTTACTTCCTGGTCAACCAGGTGCTCTCAAAGATAATTCTGTAAGTTACTATAATCAGCTTCTTAAAGCAAGCCATTATTCATTTTTCAGAAGTGGCCATTAGGTGACAGCCAGAACTCCAAGGCCAAGGCACAGATGGTTACCTGCTAATCAGCGAAACATTCCTACTACATTTTATTTTCACAACTTTATCTATCACATAATGGGAGAATTACATCAAAAGAGAAAAAACATAAGGATCTAAGACAAAAAGTTTCAAACATTAAATCCCCCTACAACTGCAGGCTCTACAGCCTCATAAGCAATCAAACAATAATCAAAAGTATATCTCTGTGATGTTTTAAAAAATCGCCCTATACTATCTCTCGTTAAAAATTATGAAAGTGGCTAAAGCAGCTACATTTTCTATGCTCTAAAGAGTTGCAAGGACAGGCTAACCTTTAAGGTCACAGCAACTATATTTTTGCCATAGCAGTTTCAGCTCATACTCCCATCACTTCCATTAGTTTGTAAGATTCTTGTTAAGCCGTTTCCCAGAAGGCATGCTATATGTCTGGGCCCGATTTCAGGGCACTGGGTAGGCACACAATAAGGTGTCCAGAAATGGCATGGGTTTAATTGTACTCCTGTGTGCAGTTAAAGGCCCACTCACCAAGACATCAATAACATTAACTCTTAAACTTACAGTAGTTGCCAAAGCCATCTCACAGGGGAAAACAATGCCTCAATAGATTACAGAATTCTTAGTGGGGTACTCGAGTGTCCATGTAAACAGGGGGTAAGACTGCATCAAGGTGGTCAGAGAGATATCCGCCGGGCCCTGCCAAACAGCTGGAAGCTCCCCAGGCCCTGCCAAGCAGGGAGCTGTTCTCTTCACACCCTCGTGTCATCCACACCTACTGCACGGACCCCAGCAGCTGGGAGTGGATCAAGTTGAGGAACTTGGAAAACTCCCC